ATGCTGTACATAGATTAGATAAGATTTAAATTGTTCAGTTAATAATTAGCACTACACTTCCCCGTACACCTACATAAAGATATGCACTACTATTTTATTACTTCACTTACATACGCATAACTTCATATTATTTTTTGAAGTTTTACATAATATATAATGTGGTTAATATAAATGATGAATAAATAAAAGGACTGTGCTTCACATTTATTATAAAATTTATAATTTATTCATACTTAATTCTTTTTTTGACAACTTTTTACAAACTATTCATTATCATATATTATATTATGCAACTATTTAAATTGTACACCGATAGCACAACAGTGCGACTTAAATCTATAATTTTATGGAGGGGTGCTGTGTTCGGATATATATATGTGTAATTCATTACAGATTTAACGATTAATGTACAACAGTTGTATTCATACATTTATACTGCATACCTACATAACTACATTAATTAATTTATTTTACATAATATCATGTATGTTTAAATTTGGCAAAACATATCATTTTTACTTATAAAAAGATTCCATTCGATTCATTTTAATGTGCATAGGTATAATTAATAATTTGATCACAATTGTTCTTCACTTATCAACTGTTGCTTAATAATTATTTAAAAACATTTTATGATTTGCAAGTAGGTACTTAAGCCATAACTTGACGCATCTTTACTATTTAAACGTGCATTGGAAGGTATAATTAATAACTTTTACAGATTTAATTTAAACTTATAACAAACGGATACCTAACAGTTGTTTATTTAAATTTATATTAAAGAAATAAAAACAACAACCTCTTTACAATACCAATGTATTTCAATAGCATTCCAACAGACCCTATTGTGATCACAAATATACAATTTTGTAGTAACCATACCTTCACTTGACACAATGTACAATCTTAATTATTTAAATGTATACATCAATAAACTTCCATCATTTCAATTTAAATTATTTTTTTTTATACAATTAGTACCAATCAATGAAAAACTATTAATATATATTTGTGATGTGTGATGACCTCATTGTATAAACATACAATTTATAACATTACTGTTTTTATTATATTATATATTGAATTAATTTTGATTTCAGTTACACTAACTCACGGTACGTCGGCCCACCTGAAGCCATTTGGAGGTTGTTTTCGTATGAGATACACAACAAAAGCCACACGATCATAAGACTTCCGGTCCACCTGGAAGACAATCAGACCGTGTACTTTCCTCCCGGACATGCTGAAGAACGGTTAGACGATGATAACCAACGTCGTACTAAACTAACAGAGTTCTTCACACTCAACACAAACAGCGAGGTGGCAAGACAGTACCTCTACCATGAGATACCACTACATTACACTTGGCACCAACCTAGCAGGACATGGTCGCCACGTAAAAATCGGATGGCCAACAAGACGTTGGCTCGGATGTACGTCGTCAACCCAAAGGATCAGCACCGTTTTCACCTGCGACTGTTACTTCTGAACCGGAGAGGCCCACGGTCTTTCCGAGACATAAGAACAGTCGACGGGATCGTGCACGAGACATATGGGGCTGCTGCAATTGCATTGGGACTCGTAGAAAACGACGAAGCATGGCATGCGTGCATGCAAGAGTCTGCAACGTTGGACTCTCCCGGCCAGCTTCGGTATCTTTTTGTCACAATACTGGTGCACTGCCAGCCTACTGAACCGCTAAGGCTGTACACGAGCAACGAAGACAGCATGATTGAAGACTTCAATCGGCGTTTGCAAGACGTTGACCGTGCGAAGGCATCGACTCTGAAGGCCATTGGAGATCTTCTACGGGTACACGGAAAAACACTTCACGACTACGGTCTGCCCATCCCGGACGACCGTCTACTAGAACCAGAATTGGACAATCAACTGTTCCACGCAATAGACGTGGCGGCACGGTGGGCACCACAAGTGGACACCTTGAACGCCCAACAGCAAACAGTATTTGATCGCATCATGGTGGCGGTCAATGACGACCGGGATGTGGCAAAAACATTCTACGTCGACGGACCCGGAGGCACCGGAAAAACAACGCTTTATGGATGCCTAAAATGGGCACTTCAAAACCAACAACCGCCACGGGAAGTATTGTGCGTGGCATTCACGGGGATCGCCGCGTCGCTCATGGACGGCGGAATGACAGTTCACTCGACGTTTGGATTGCCATTTGGTACGCTGACCGACGACGATACATCAAATATCTCCTTGCAATCCATGCGCGCACAGAGGATACGTGATGCGGCGCTCATAGTCTGGGACGAATCGCCAATGTCACCGGGGACACAGCTCACAGTGGTCGATCGCTTACTCAGAGACATCATGGGAAAACAAACAATACCGTTCGGGGGCAAACCGGTCCTATTCGCGGGCGACTTCCGACAGATATTGCCCGTCGTACGCAGAGGGAATAGAAGCGCCATCGTCTTGGCGTCAATCAAACAAAACTTTTTGTGGAGAAACACAGAGAAGTTTGAACTGACCCAAAACATGCGCGCCGGGAACGACGCGGACTTCGCAGATTGGATACTGAAGCTCGGAAACGGACAACTACCAGTGGTCGACGGTATTGAGGATACGGTCGAAATCCCCAAGGAAATGGTATGTGATATCAATGAATTAGTTGATTTTGTTTATCCACAGCAAATGTCGTTGACTAACGTCTACAATTTTGCTCGGAGAATTATTCTTTGTCCCAAGAACGAAGAATGCCGTCAACTAAATCGCCAAGTACTCCTACGCGTTGCAGGGGCCGAATGGACCGACTACAGCATAGACACGGTGATGGCCGACGACCCGGACGAGGTCGCCAACTATCCCACTGAGTTTCTCAACTCTCTGGAACTAAACGGCCTCCCCCCGCACGCGTTGACCCTCAAGGTCGGTGTCATAGTCATGTTGCTAAGGAATCTCGATCCAAGTAGACAACTGTGCAACGGTACAAGGCTGGTGGTCACCGAATTGCGGCGATACAACTTCAAGGCAAGGATGTTGTCCGGTGGCGGCGACGCACCGGACGACATAGTCATACCTGCTTCAGGCAGTGAGGATGATCTTCCATTCCAATTGAAGCGGCTACAGTTTCCGGTACAGTTGTCGTTCGCGATGACCATCAATAAATCCCAGGGTCAAACGTTTGACAGGGTTGGTTTGCATCTGCCGTCACCCGTGTTCACTCATGGACAATTGTACGTTGCGTTTTCGCGAGTGAGAAACGCTCAATCCGTCAAAGTCGGTATGTACGCTGACGGCCACGGTCGGTTTGTCACAAAGAACATTGTGTACAGGGAAGTATTACCTCTCAGGGTATAATCTCGGTGAATTGTCAAAACAAAAAAAATATATCAAACTTCAAATTAAATATTTTTTTGTTCACATTAGTTTTCTCTTCAATAATGATATATTTTTTTTGAGACATACTAGCCTGAGATTACAGACGTACTTAAATACAACATTTTTATGTTGTACCATCATGGATTTATGTGATCCACCGGGCGTTGTTGGCCATTGAAGTACTCTAATCCTTAGGGATCCGTATATCTGGGATATAAAAAGTATATATATATATACAATAAAGTCTACAAGAACTTAATGAACATCAAATCTGATCTATGTGATCAAATGGATCTGTGTGATCCAAGTCTGTGTGACAAAAGTCTGTGTGACAAAAGTCCGTGTTACAAAAGTCTGTGTGACACATGGTTCATAAGCAGTCATAAGTACGACTCGCGAAGGAGAGAAAGTTCGACAACCTCCACGTGGTTCTCTCTGGATGCGGATTTTGTAAAAAATACGTAACTGATGTCGAACATGCATTTAACCTGGCTACAACTCGCACACTATGTGGTAAATTATTTAGAATTATTTATGTACCCTAAAAATATATCAGCAGATATTTGTATGCATTTGTATTATTTCAGAAACATTATACTAAAAATGACTATCAATGCAGATGTAACAGAAACAGAATCATTGTTGTACTGCTACTAAAGCATAGGAGAAATTCAACAATCTCTACGTGCTTCTCTCTTGATGCGGATTTTGTAATGTATTTGTATCAAATGCCAAACATGCATTTAAACTGGCTACAACTCGCACACTATGTGGTAAATTATTTAGAATTATTTATGTACTCTAAAAATATATCAGCAGATATATGTATGCATTTGTATTATTTCAGAAACATTATACTAGAAATGACTATCAATGCAGATGTAATAGAAACAGAATCATTGTTGGACTGCTACTAAGACATAGGGGAAATTCGACAACCTCTACGTAGCAGAAACACAACAAAAAGATTCATCATTGTATCAATACTGATTACTAATTTGCAACTAAACCATTCTCTGATAATCATAAGAATTACTACAGCTAACACTTAATTATTATTCATTGTTAATTTGTAACTGATGTAGCACACACACACACACACACATATATATATATATATGTAGGGGAGACTGGGGTAAGATGAAGTCGTGAGGTAAGATGGGAAATGTTAATAAATCGTGATCTATTGTTTTCATTATATTTTTTCCAACACACAAATTATTTATGTTGGCCATACTGTTATAATTCGGTGAAATATTTGTGATTAAGCATAACAATAACACAAAAAGTCGTTTTTTCGTGATAACGGAATTTTGATGTTAAATTTATGAAAAATCATCGCTGTGTAAGGTATGTAAATCTATTTCAATTAATTATTAATATACATTATTATTATAGTATTTTTTGTAAGGATTACATTTATATCGTTTATTTTTAGTTCTATATAGACCATAAAATAGTAGAAAACATTATATGTATTAATAGCATTTGAGTCAAGATGGGAAACTCACTATGAGGTAAGATGGGACATGTCCCATCTTACCTCAAATATCAAATATTGTATTTAGTACTTAGTAAATAATATTACAATCTAATATATTATTATATTAGTTTTAATCGAATGCGCAGGTAAAAATACTGTCATCAATATGCCTCGTGGTAGAAAAAGAACATCTAATAGGCAAATGTGGGATTCTAACAATATGCGTGCTGCTGTAGATGAAATTATTGTTCTTGGAAAAACATTTAGAGAAGCATGTGAGAAGTTTAGTGTTCCAAAAAGTACTCTCGAAAGAAAAGTAGAATAATTATATAAAATTGTATTAGGTATTGTTTTACTTATAATCATAATGTATTATTTTAATAGGTAAAGAAAAAAAGAAATGATCCAACATGTGATGTTGGAGTAAAAGATTCATTAGGACCAAGACTAACAGTTTTTAACACTACAGAAGAAAATGAATTGGTTTCTTATCTGAAACTAATGGAAGGTCGTTTATTTGGTCTAAGTGTTGAAGATTTAAAAAAACTTGCTTATCAACTTGCAGAAAAAAATAATATCACCCATGATTTTTCTCATGTTAAAAAAAAGCAGGCTTTGATTGGTACCAAGGATTCATGAAGAGGCATCCCGAACTATCTCTAAGAAAACCTGAAGCGACATCTGTTGCAAGAGCAATGGGCTTTAATAAAAGGGTTGTAGATGATTTTTTTCAACTTCTTGGTGGGTTAATGGATCAATATAAATTTAAGCCTGATAGGATATATAACTGTGATGAGACGGGGATTTCTTCTGTACCAAAATCCAAATCTAAAATTATTGCATCAAAGGGTAGGAAACAAGTTGGGGCTATTACTTCTGCTGAACGCGGAGAAACCGTTACTGTTGAAATTTGTATGAACGCTGCTGGTACGTACATGCCACCTTTCTTTATTTTTCCAAGAAAAAGGTTCAACAGTGAATTTATGAGAAATGCCCCAATTGGTTCAATAGCTGAATTCCACCAATCAGGGTGGATGCAAAAAGACATTTTTGAAAAATGGATGGTGCATTTTATTCAATTTTCTCATGCTACTCAAGATAATCCAGTTTTATTATTGTTAGATGGTCATTGTACTCACACTAAGAGTATTGAACTGATTCAAATAGCCCGTGATAATGGAGTTGTACTCCTTTGCTTTCCTCCTCATTGTACTCACAGGTTACAACCTCTAGATGTCGCATTTATGAAGCCTCTGAGTACATACTATGACAAAGAAACTACAAATTGGCTTAGAAACCATGGCGGTGATGTTGTAACATTAAAACAACTGGCTGAAATTTTTGGATTAGCTTTTATAAAAGCTGCAACCATGACAACAGCAATCAATGGTTTTCAAAAAACAGGAATTTGTCCGTTTAATCCAGATATTTTTAATGATTTGGATTTCATGGCTGCTGAGACAACTAATGTACTAATAGAGAATGATGATATGGCTCAAGTTTCCAGTGTTCCGCCTTTACCAGTCATCAGAGAGTCATGTACGTTACCAGAAGCTTCAAATTCTACAACAGATAATGAAAAAGTACCAGATCCTATGCCTGGGTGTTCACACTGGAATGATCAAACACCTAAAGTAAAAAAAACTACATTTAAAAATGTTTCACCTGAAGATGTTTTACCTGTACCTCAGCAAACATTAGAAAATAGGGAAAAGAAAAAAAGGAACTCTCGCTTTAGAGGAAAAACTGCTGTTATAACAGAATCTCCATATAAAAAAGCATTGGAAGAGCACCAAAAAAATAGTAAAAAGTTTCCAGCTAAACGCAAGGTTACAAATGTAAAAAAAAAGTTATTTTCCAAACCTGACAAACCTTCCAACAAAGTGAATGAACAAAATGATGATCAAACAAGTAATGAAGATGATGTTGAATGTCTTTACTGTGGCAATACCTATTTGCAATCAAATGAAGGCTGGGTTCAATGCAGGGCATGCTTAAAATGGGCACATTGTTCTTGTGCTGGCGAAGATGACAATGATGATGAACTGTATCACATTTGTGACATTTGTAAAGTTTAAGTATCTATTTAGTACTTTTATTATGTTTTTGTTTATTTTACTAACTAACTATTTGTTATATATTTTTATACTTGGCTGAGAAACTGAAATATTCCTAAAAGCTTACGTATTAAGTATTTACCTACTAAGAAATTAAGTTTTTTTTTGTTTTAAATTAAATAGTTTGTTTGAAATTGTATATTTTACTGAAGAGTTATTTGTAAAGTTTAAGTACCTAACTGTTTAGTATTTTCATTATGTTTTTGTTTATTAAAATACTAAACAGTTAGGTACTTAAACTTTACAAATAACTCTTCAGTAAAATATACAATTTCAAACAAACTATTTAATTTAAAAAAAAAAAAAACTTAATTTCTTAGTAGGTAAATACTTAATATGTAAGCATTTAGGAATATTTCAGTTTCTCAGCCAAGTATAAAAATATATAACAAATATTTAGTTAGTTAGTAATATTATGTTTTTGTTTATTTTACTAACTAACTAAGTAGGTACCTATTTGTTATATATTTTAATACCTGACTGAGAAACTGAAATGTTCCTAAAAGCTTAATAAGAAATAAGAAATAGTTTTTTTTTTTTTTAAATCAAATAGTTTGTTTGAAATTGTATATTTTACTGAAAAGTTATTTGTTTCATTTATTTTATGTTTTATATTTTACAAATAAAGTTCCTTAAAGCTTTTTTTAAGTTTTTTTTTTTAAATTGAGTAATTTATAAATACCTAACTGAACCCTAATGTTACTGTTAAGAATAACCTATTTATCAATAAATAATTAGGCACCTGATATTTATTTTTTATACATTCATTTATTTGGCCCATCTAACCCAATACTATGTCCCATCTTACCACAGTTATGTGGTAAGATGGGAAAATTTCAATTTTCTGGAAAAACCAAAATATATATTAAAAAAGTTAAAATATTTAAATTTTGATAGAAAATTTTGAAACTGCATGTAATTCTGTATAGTTTGATACTTTAAAATAACCTTTTATATGAAATCAATATGATAAAAAATTAGTTGCAAGTTAGGTGTCCCGTCTTACCCCAGTCTCCCCTATATACACTTAAATTGATTAATAGTAAGTTTCATACACAAATTATTATAATTTCAAAAGCATATATTATCTACTATAACCAGAGTTTGTAAGAAATTTTCAATTTTGTTGTATGTACAATATGTTTCATTTCTACGTATTGCAGTCGACGCACGATTCAATTAAATTTTTTTAAACATCATTAAACTACACTATATTGTATGTTTGAATTTGTATTGCTTAACAATGTCTTTTATATGTAATAAACATAATGAGGTATGATTAGATATTTTGCCACCCCAAATAATTTTCATTGAAAAAATATTATACAATTACTGATTAGTAATACCTAATTGATTATACATTATTTGTAATTTAAAAAATGTGCTCTGCTGTACTGTAGGTTATAAGTGGGTCACTGTATAATGGATGGTATTAAATTTGAATTCAATGATATAATATCATTGTATAAGAAAAACGATTCTGAGTGGAGACGGTATGTCAGTCTAGGTTAAGACATATTATATACATATTACATATATATCGTATTAAAATAAAATTGACCTATAATAAATTCCAAATTAATCATATCACAATATCCATTAGGTACTTATAAGCGTTTTACATCAACAATAAACCGTGATACTATCATAGATATATAAATATAATAGTACACTTTAGAAGTTTCAAGTACCCACGAATAATATTATACAATCACAACAAAATAACTAAAATAGTTATTCTAGGTTTTTTAATATATAATTTCATCCAAATTTGAATTTAAAATGTCTGTAAAAAATAACTGTGTTCATATATTTTTTAGATTTTTTGGTTACAGTATGAACTATTCATGAGAACCTCTGTTTTAAATTTGCAGTCCTTAGCTATAAAAACTGAACATTTTATAATTTATTAATTACAATGATTGATAATTTTCGAGATTTTGATAAATTTTGTCAAAATTCGATGTTTAAATGCTTATAAAAAGAAATTGTACATATGTATTTTAAATATTTTTCAAACTGATATTGTAACAATATATCGGGAGCCTTGTATTAAATTTTTATACTTTTTGACCCAACAGATAAAACTTTATTGATATTTAAAGAAAAAAAAACTAAAAAAATCGAAAACTGAAAATTTCCATAAACAGCTCAAAAATATTTTCAAAATTGTATAGTGTTTAGAAAATGCTAATATAAACATTCAATGAAATTTTCATGTATCTACAGTTATTCGTTTTAGAATTACAACAAAATAAGGAAATCGCTATATGAGAAATCGACTGAATCTCCAATGTTGTAAATATTTGAATTTCAAACACTCATAAAAATTTAATTTGACTTTCTTATAGACATTTTTTTTTGATAAATGTAGAAAATCTTATAAGGAATCTTGTATTACATTTTCATATCTTTTATTAGCCATTGGTTAACAATTAATGTTACCATTAATATTATTCATTAACTAATAATACCAACAATAATTTATTCGAGCCTATGCATACCTACCACTTTAAAGGAGAGTTATGCAAACTTATAAATATGATAACATCTGTTATATATATGTTGTAATATAACTTAGGTTAGGTTATGTATAAAAAAAAACACTTAAAAATAACTGTTGTTATATATTATATATATATTTATATTTATAACTTATACATTATTCATTCTGAAAATATATACAAACAAAAATTAGAATTAGACAATAAAAAGAACACAAAAATTAGTACACAGGAACTTTTTAGAGCTTACCACTAGCTTGCTGTCATCCTATAAACAATTAAAATTTAAAAACATTTATAACTAACATGTGTATTACAAATATATTACAATATTATACTCACTCCTACATTCATAGAGGCCATATCGTGGCCCATAGATGACACAGCACTCGAGCCACGGTCATGGCCCGAGTGCTGGTGCGAAGTTCTGGCTCCATTCCCCAACGACGGGGGGGCCGAGTCCCGCAGCCGCTGTGAGATCGTCTCTCTCGGAGACCGATCTCGCCGCCGAGGGGGGGACCGGTCTCGCCGACGGGGAGGGGACCGGTCCCTCTGAACTTTTGGTCTTCTGCCTGCATAATAAATAATATTTTAGATGCATTGCCTACGATCACATATATAATATACACAAAATACACTTACAATGGCGGGCCAGGTGACCAGGTTTTCTGCAATTGTAGCATTCTGAAAAAGAAAAGCGAACAACATTACCATGTTTATCCATAGACCTATAAACTAATGGACAACGCTTAGAGAGAGAAGTAAGAGGTCCAATATACAGTATTAGTTTCGTAAGTCTATGATTTCCCACATTATGTTTTTTCTCTCTTTCTCTTATATGATTTCATCAAGATTCCCCCACTATGTTCCTTCTTACTCACTCTATATTGGCGTTACTCAGTGATGGTTGGGTGGTGAGGGAGGCGCAATCCATTAGTTTATAGGTCTATATGTAAGAAAAAAAGTCCCCGGAAAATAGTCCCGGCTATAATGCACTTTACCACACCCCTCACGAATTTCGATTTTTTTTTTTTTAAGAAGTGTTTTTCAACGCTGATTTTGAAACTGTTTGAATTTTTGTGCGGAAACCATTATTTTGGAAGTTATAGCCTCCCAAAGTTAACGATTTTACGTTTATACGCATGCGCGCAACATTACTATATTACCGCGCGGAGCGACGTCGCCGAGAAGCGCAGCGACGAGTGCCGCTAACAAGGGATCACTGCCCATACTATACAACATAACTGCAACAAAAATGCAATTTTCTTAACCCTGTAACCCACTTGGGGAGGTGTTGCACAGCAAGTCGGGGGATATTTTCGATTTGCGGAGCGCATTGACGGCGCCGAGGAGCGTAACGACGAGTGCCGCATCACTGTACGATGTTTTTTCAAATTGGTGGCTCGGTGCAACAAAAATGCAATTTTCTCAACCCTGTGACCCACTTGGGGAGGTGTTGCACAGCAAGTCGGAGGATATTTTCGATTTGCGGAGCGGAGGTATATAGGTATAATAGGTACTACAATATACTCATTAGCTTATCTACCTGATATAATTATCATCAAGATAATTGAATATAACAATATTTGTAATAATATACAATTTAGTAGTTATAATGAAATAGTTATAAAATAGCGATATTGATATAAAAATAGAACGAAGACCAATTAAAATGTGCAATTTTGTGCAACTTTGAAACAGATGAAGAAAATGCTGATAATATTGTTTATTAAATATTTAACATTGTGTATAAGTACAATATACAATAAAATAAAAAAATTGAATTTCAACTTTAAAATTATTGTCCCCGTAAAAAGAATTTAAATAGGTTATACACGCTCCGCGCGGCGGTAATACATAGTGGTGTTGAGCGCATGCGTATAAACGTAAAATCGCAAACTTTGGAAGGCTATAACTTCCAAAATAATGGTTTCCGCACAAAAATTCAAACAGTTTCGAAATCAGCGTTGAATAACACGTATTTTTAAAAAAAAATCGGAATTTGTGAGGGGCGTGGTAAAGTGCATTTGTTCCAATAGTTCCCGGTAAAAGTCTCACGGAAAAAAAAGTCTCCAAATTACTATTTGATTTAAATTCTGTTTTTTATCATATAGGTATTTATTAAGTACATAGCCCATAGGTAAAACATGTTACATATTTGTATTGAAAATTATTAACAATCAACTAAATTAAATAGATACCTTTCTAGGATTAAAAATTATTGTAGATAAGTATTTATATACATAATTAAATACATTTTAAATTTATTGAAAATAATATAATATCTTAAACATATAATAATATATAAAATTTGTCAACCCAATTTATTTAAAAACATAGATATACCAGTACATAACAGTATAGAGGAAATATCGTTTTATTTATTCTACAATGAGAGACTTTGTTTCCGTGGGACTTTCTTACCGGGGACTTTTTTCCCGTTTACCGTATATACGT